GTGGTCACGAGCGGATTTGAATCTAAATGTGTATATAATGATGATATTAGTACAAACAATTAAATATTATATCATGTTTTTGATTAAATATACTTTTATACATGCATCATCAATGAGCAAATTCTTTTTATATGCATGCATGATGACAAGTCAAAAATGTACCAATAAATTAATTTATGAGAGACTATTTCCAAGAACACAATTCTCTATATATTAATAGAGAAGACACTAGATGAAAAATCTTATGTATCATCTAAAGAGGATTTTAAAGAACTTTTTTTCTAATAAAAATTATTAAAATTTTTTAATGACAAATATATGGAAATAACGAATATGTGGTAACTTATATACAGAATTTTATTTAAGGAATATAGAAAATAATTGAAATATCTTATTTTCTTTTCAATAACTACTATATATTTTGATCCGAATCAAACGCGGGATTAGATTATTCAAAAAAAAAAATTCATTATTATTTTTAATAGATGACAGAAACTAAAAATAACAAATATAAAATATATTATGTTTGATCAAAATTGAACTTATCATTTTTTCACAATACATATCATTTTTGTACGTTTATAAATGTTAGAATTCACGTATAAATATTAAATTCGATTAAAAAATATATTTAATTATTTAATCTCACGCTTGGCGTGGGTCAAAATCTAGTCTTATTATATAAAGAAGAATGCGCACAATAAGACACGACACGTAAGCAAAATTGTAACTCACCAAATTACGACACATGTAATTGTTAATTTAGATTGTGACGTGTGTCAATATTAACAAAATTTTAAAAATTAAAATAAAAAATATATTTTAAACAAGGATTATGAACTAATTAACAAAAAGGAAAAAATCATCATACTAAAATAGTTAATATTTCTAAATTGTTATATTACAAAATATATATTCTTTCTATTTCAAATTATTTAAACAGTTAAAGGCAAAATGAGATGTCATATTATAAGTGTCATTTTGCTAATATAATAACGTGTATGAGACAATTTTAGTATGAGATAAATATAACAAATTGACGAGTTAATAAAATATAAAATGATATAATAATAAAATATATATTAAATATTTTGTGCGAGTCGTAA